CAATATTAGATAATGACTCTAAAACCTTAATTATTTTTCTTAGTCATTTAGAGGTTTTATATGTTAGGTAACGACATCTATCGGTTGAAAATTAAATTTGTAAAACCACACTTTCATCACTTGAGCAACATGTGATTGATGTAATGGAATATACAAAACAATAGCTCCTATGTGTTAATCTTTTGCTAGAACCAAGATTGGACTTTTTCTTAATTTTTGTTTTTGTTCTAAGAATAGGGTTTTTGATTTTTTTTTAATTGAAAAATTTATTTATTTTTCAATAATGCACGATAGATTTTGATTTATAGGGTTTAAATAATTCTTTTTCAATATTGTAAGAGTGCATTGCTAGTTGCACAATGGGCTAATTGAATGATTATAGTAGTATCCGAATTTAGACTTAGGAAAGATAACAAAAGCACTATGCATTTAAACTTGACCTCGATCAAATTTAGACTTGGGAAAAATAACAAAAACACCATGAAGTAATTGGACAATCTTATTTTCTTTTGCTTGCTCCTTATTTTTTATTACTTGTTAAGTATTTGATATGTACTATGATAATTGCTTTTTCTAGTTAATGATTTTTTTTAGAAACATTTTATTATTGGAGTTGGAGCTAATAGTTCAAACAATCCATAATCAAGTATAAATATCTTTAGAAAACACATAAGATGACATGAGAATAAAGAGAAAACCAATTAAGCCAAGATCAATAATGTAAGAACATTTCACTAAGTTTGAAGATAAAAATAAAGAGATCAAAGTTAGATGCAACTATTGTGATCGATAATTGTTATACATTCTACAAAAAATATTACTACCGCATTTAAATCTCATATGACTATATGAAAAAAAACACCTTTGTAGTGTTGATCGTATGAAAAAAAAAAACACCTTTATAATGTTGACAAACACAAACTTAATTAAAATTTTATTCAAATATTCAAGGAGAAAGTAGTCTTAGCACATAAAAGTTTGATCAAAATACTATCGAAATTACATGATCATTGTAGATGAACTTTCATTTAAATTTATAGAGGGTGTGGGTTTCAAAAGCTTATGTCTATTGCATAAACTACATTTAAAATTCTATCATGGTTTACGATTTCAGGAGATTACTATCAACTTTATTTGGGTGTGAGATTAAAGTTAAATCAATTCTTGAAACAAAATTATCAAAGTATTTATCTCATTATGGACATATGAATATCTACTCAAAAAATCTATTACATGTTTCTAATGACTTGTTTCATTGATAATGATTGGAAGTTGCACAAAAAAAAAAAAATTGGAATTTTTATATGTTTGATAGTTATAATTGTTTATATTTAGCAATGCCGCTGAGAAGTACTTGATTGATTGGAAAATTGTAAAGGTTTTTATTATTACGATTGGTGGAGTAAGTTTGAATGATGTGATAATTAGACACTTAAAAGATGTTATTAAAAATTGGGATCATAGTATCTTAGATTGAGAATTCCTTCATATAAGGTATATGACTCATATTTGAATCTTATTGTTGTTGATGGGTTAAAACACGTTAATCCTTCGATCATTCATGTTTAAGCGATCATGAGATATGTGAGACTATCTCTAGTTGGTTAAAAAAATTTAAGAAATGCATTATGATTGAAAAGATTAATTTTAAGAGTTTGTTGTATCTAGATATTGCAACTAGGTGAAATTTAGTATATTTGATATTAAATACGGCTCAAAAGTTTGAGAGAGTTTTTACGAGATATGAGTAAATTAATCTTTTATATAAGAGTAAACTTGATCTAGATAATGGTAATAAAGTATTTGGGATCGCTTGATGACAATGATTGGTGGGCTTGTAAGAGGATGCCGAGTATATTGAAAAAATTTTACGATCTTACTTTGTTTATTTTTTATTTTTTTGTATATGACCTCTAATACTTACTTTAAAGAAATTTGTTCCGTTGAATATATTTTGAGAACATGACAAGAAAGCTTCGATTTCGAAGATATTGTCTTAATGGTTACTAAAATGAAAGAAATTTTTTGTAAGTATTGGAGGGACATTAAGAAAATGAGCAAGTTGATTTAAATTACGACGATACTTGATCCTATGTATAAACTTGCATTTTTTGAATTTTCATTCAATGAATTATATGGTGAATTAAACGGTGAGAAAATGACAAATTTTATGAGAGAATCTATGTATGCCATGTATGATTCATATTGCAAGTTGAAAACACCTCAAGGTCAAATTGACCAAAGTGGTAGAAGAATAAAAGTATCAAATGCAAATGAAGAAATGGTTAAACAAGGGGAAAAAAGCATGACATTTGAGATGAAGTTGCATTTTTAAAAAATTCAAACATGAAAGTGGAGGTAGAGAAAATAAATTAGAGTTAGATAGGTTTCTTGGTGAAGATGTTGAAAATAATGATGATGATTTTGATATTTTAGAGTGGTGAAAAATATTTTTTTTTCTCGATTTCCCATCCTTTCACAAATAGCTTGCGATGTGTTGACGGTTTCTATATCTAATGTTGCCTCGGAATTTGTATTTAGCACTGAAGGAAGATTTTTTGATGCCTTTAAGAGTTCTTTAACTCTTTACATAGTGTTATCTCTCATATGTGCTCGAGATTGACTTAGAAATTTATCGATACCATTTACTATTGGAGAAGATTTGTAAGATATTGAGAAAATTAAAGTTGATAATTTTTGTAACTCTATCTTTTCATTTGTTATTTCTTTTCTCTATAATAATGTTAAAATGTTGATTTTTTTATATTACATTTTTCAGATTTAGCAAAAGTTTCATTGGAACCAATTATGGTAGATATATGATAGATTGACAATGTTTTGACATTTTGAATGACTTAGGTAAGTTTTTAATTTTAATTTGCTTGGTATATTAAATTTTCAAATTTGAATATTTTGATAAATTATTCGAGTTAATGTGGTATTTTTTAATAGGCAATGCCATTATCAAGACTCGAAAGTAAATGGATTGTAAAATAATTTAATTTTATGCGTTGTCGCTAGAATTTAATGGATGGTGTTGATGTTGAACCACACGATGGTTAATATCTTAGCGTGGAATATTCGAATGCATAGGTAAAAGAAGAATTTGGGTCTTTTGAATTTGGTCCATTCGGTAAGTTGGAAGCCTTCCATTTCAAATGCTCTTGGGAATTATACACTCTCACTTTAAAAATTTTGAGGCTTTGGATTTACAAGGGAGAATACAAATGAGAAATTTTATAATACACCAACGAGTAACTAGTGACATGTACGGTAATTACTTCATGGGCCCACTTTGAGGAGAGAGATAGACATACAAAAGAGAGAGAGAGAAACATGAGAGAGAAAATAAAAAAATTTGAGCGGACGTAGAAATCTTCTTAACACTTTTGATTGGTATAGATGTAATTTTCATTTTTTTTATGTGTCTATCTCTCTTCAAAGTAGACTCATGGAGTAACTACTGTACATGCCACTAGTTACTCCCAGTGTATTATAAAATTTCTCGAATACCAATAGAATTTTTGATAATGTGTAGAATTATTATAGTCATTATTTTTTTAAAAAAATCGATTTAAATAAAAAAACCAAAAACCAAAACCAAAAAAACTGAATCCTATTTCACTTCTGTTTTGGTTTTTGTTTATGATAATTCTATTAATCAAAAAATAAATTGATATTATTTGAAACTGGCCTGAAAAACCAATTGTTCACCCCTATCCATGCGTAGATAAAGAAAGTGTAGTAAGAGATTTAACAAACATATTTAAATAAATAAAATATATATTTTGGTCTATCAAAATAGTAAAGATTACAAAAACAATCAAATAAAAAAAATTTAACAAATTGATGTGTCAGAAATATAATTAAATCATTAATAAATATGTGCTCCAAAAAAATTAAGAAAAGTGCAACTTCTTACTTGCAGTTACAGAAATGGCTGATACAAGAGGTCCATTGAAAGCCAGTGAAGAAGATTTAGGGACGCCAAAAAAACTCGTAGAAAGATCCTTTGCCAGCCCAGAAAAAATGGATCTGTAATAGATGATCATCACCTACACATGCCGTGAAATTTTTGGTCATTGGCTTTCCTGAGGCCCTACCCTTTTCAGTTATAACGAAGTCTTTCAGTCATCTCTCCCCCTGTAAGAGAACGTAGTTCTTGAAAATATGATGGCAAATTTTTTTATAGAAGCTGCACAAAATAAGACTTTTACCTGAAACACGGCTCCCCAAGGTCTTGTAATAATGTTCATGTTGGATGAAAACAGTTCCAGCAAAGTGAAATGTCAGAGTGTAAGAACTATGCCCAGGAAGGCGAGCGTTACATAGAGACAGTTTTGGCAAAGATCATCTTGGACAGCAAATGTTATGCCCTAAAGATTTTGCCAACAATTACCCAGGATGGATGGGGGAGATCGACAGTCTGTCGTAACTATCTTTTTCCTCCTTTTGTTCGGTCGCAGTTTCGGCATTAGTGATCGATATCAAGAGCTGAAATCGATAAAGAATGTCCCATAGAGCTTGCAGAAGCATGATGTTCGATTTAGTTTGGAAATAGAGGATTAGATCGGGTGTCGCTGACTTCTTTCTATCAATTTTTGTCGATGCTGATCGTTTTTCATCATTCTTTGGGTGAGATTTTGGTCGGAATATGATTGTGTGTTCCTCCGGCAAGTTTTGGTAACTTTTTGAAATCAATAACTTCAAGCAGAGTAGTTCATTTATTTCCACGTACAAAAAACACTTCATTTGTAGTTGATTTATTGCTACCCATGGCCCAAGGGAGAAAGAGCAGTTAACTTCAAGCAGAGTCAACTCTCCTGCTCTCTTGCCCCACAGGACCACCACATTACCCCTTAATTCCAGCGTGGCACGCATGCACCACCAACCTCACTATTTCATCAACGCAGCATCCTCTAGTCTCTCACGAGCCACCCGTCACCGTTCACCCTACCTCTCCGCCACTCCTCGACGGATCTTATTTCACACATCTCTAAATGCGCGTGAATTAAGATCGTCCGAAAGGGTGGTTGAACTGTAATTTCAGACAATGCTTTGAAAATAAAGAATCTGTGAACCTGGACAGTGTACACTTGTTCCCGAAGGAACTGCCCCGATGCAGTCGCTTTATTTCAAGGAGTTATTCAGTGCAGGCGCGGCACCGTAAGCCCTCACTCTTACCAATCAATTGGTGGTCACGAGGATCTGGGGAATATTAAAATGAGCGCTACTGCAGAGGATGAGAAACGGCTATTTTATCCATATTTGTTTTTCGAAAAAATTGATGCGCTGGATATTTCTGGTAAACTAAAATTTGGCCTTTATAAATTTATCAATATTCTACTTCTATCCTCATAATTTGGAGTTTACTGATATTGCTCCTATAAAATATAAATAACTTCAATATCGCCTTTTACTAATAAGTGTAGGGCTTGTATCGACTCCAAATTCAAAACTCTAAGGCTTCATTTTCTTTTTAGTACACATAATAATAATATACTAATAGTAAATTAATTTTTTATATCAAATACATATAATATAATTTTAATATAAATTCATTTTCAACTGCACATATTAATCAAATACTTTTATATCTAATTATATTTATAGTTATAACCATAACAACAATCATAATTATAACTACAACTAATTTCTAAACCAATCAAATACTAAATAACAAAAATTTTTTTTTTATTTTTCTCTTTCTCTTTCATTTTTTTCTCTCTAAATTACGCTATAAATGTTATAACATATCACAAAGACACTTACAAACTCAAAACCAAATTAAAAAAAAAAGTAAGATATTTAATGGTTAGGGGTAACATTGAAAGTTTTGGAACTAAAAGATTAAAATTGATGAAGTTTGAACTATAGGGGTGAATGTAGAATATGGAAGAATCTATAGAGGCAAAATTGAAGTTTATGGCATATACATATATTATTTATTTATTATTATTTTTTCTTTAACCAGTAGTTCAGTAGGGAGTCACAGTAGAGAGAAGAGAGCAAGCAAAGCAAAACCATAAAGAAGGGGAAAAAAAGAAAAAGAAAAAGAAAAAAAGAAGCAGCTTTAGATAGATCGCAGACGCTTCTGTGCTGTCCTCCTTTATTTGCAAGTTCTCTATACTTACTGACGGACGGTACGCTCTCACTTTTTTGTTATTTTGTTTTTTTTTTATAAGCTAGCTTTTAGATGTTTTTGTTCGTAAATGGTAATGTTTTGATGCATTCAGGAAAGGAAATGATAGATTTGTGGTTTTAAAGGAGCACATTTGTCAGGTAACTTACAGATCTGGTTCAAATCTAACTCTTTTTTTGCTTTTAGTTTGTTTCTTTATGCAAGATCTTTGGTTTTTTTTTTTCTTTTTTGCTTTTTCAATAGAACACAATTAGTTTGGTTCAAGTAAATGAGTTTTTAGTTTTCTTTTTTGAGTGTGTGTTTCATTCAGCAGGTAACATATTTATCTTTTCTTGTTAGAAAAAATAAAAGAAAATGATTTATGTTTTCCCCGTGTTATGTCTGAAAATTAACAGCATTCAATTAATAATGGATTTTAGTGGAGTGATTTGGTTCAGGAGTTTCTCATGCCATTGTCTTGTTTCGAATTGCACAGTATCATTTCTTTTTTCAGTTTGCAGTTTATAAATGTTTGAGACATGTTGCAGGGGTTTCTGTTCCTCTTTATCCAGCCATGGGAAGAAAATCGCCTGCAAAATGGATCAAGACTGTTTTATTTGGAAAGAAGTCTTCCAAATCTTTTACTGTGAAAGGAAAGGAGGTAATTAATACCTAGTTACTCCTTGCTAATGCCTTGTCGCCTTAAGTTTGACAACTTTTGAAATATTGATTCAATCATCCATCACGCAATAAGTTTGGAGAAAGGAAATGTTGGTACAACTTCAACTTTACATTAGTTTCATACCCTTTTAATATTATTTTATATCTTCACTCTTGATCATTGATAGAATGTATCCTCACTCTGCTATGTATTACATTAAAGCCAACATTGTTGGTAACACTAATGTACTCCAAAAGTTTAATATTGCGTAGGATAATGTGCCATTGATTTCTTGTCTAGGCTTTGGTTTTAAGATGGTCAATTGAGGTAATTAGAGACTCTTTAAGCTAAACATTACATGACCGCATGAGTGTGAATTTGAAACTTAGCTGGATTTTCATTTTGAATATGCTCACTGTCATTATTTTGCTTGCAAGCTACTTTTTTATGTCACAAGCCTAAGTTGGTTTTTTAGCTTTCTCTCACTTGTTTAGTCTGTTAAGGTATAAAAGACTGTCTTAAGCTTAAGCTTGTTCATGAACCGCTCAATCCAGAAGCTTAAGTTGTGAGATGAGGGAAAAGATAAGCTTTTTATATTCGTTCAATCATAGGTACTAATTCTGCATTTGAACTTTGATTGTTATGTGCAGAGAACTACAAATGAGAGAGAGACATTGGTTGCTATCAGGGCTGTGGAAGCGGACGTGACCTCAGTTCCTCCTGTGGTTCCATTGACAGCCCCCACTCCAACTAATGTCACTGAAAAGAATTTAGAGCCAGAGAGCTGGGAAACTACAGAAATATCGCATGATGGGGGTATATTGTCAACTGGAAATCAAGGTGCAAATTATTCTCAAGTCTACGCTTCTGATGATGCACCATCTAATGCTGAAAAAATAAGGCTTGATGAAGCTGCGACAATGGCACAAGCTGCATTTAGGGGTTACTTGGTAATTTTTCTTTTGTTTTTATTTTTAGTGTTGTGGATATATAGCTAATTTGTTGCAACATTATTAAAATTACATCTCTTGCATGGTTATGGTTGTGTGGCATTTGTTTTCAAGCTTTTGTGTGGAATATGATAGATATATGTTTCTTAAACAGTGGCTGTGGCAGTTTTGCCTATTGCACAAGCACAATTGCCTTAAAATTAGACACAGTTTTATACAGGTCTTTTACTTTGGCTTATCGTTTTGTTCATATGGGTCTTCGTGTGGTTTAAAAAAGTTATTGAACCTTGTAAAGTTAGCCTGGTGGTAAAGCATTAGCTTGCAGTGTGCAGATAGGTGCACGACTGAGGTCACCTTCATGGACCTTTAGGGTCAGACTGACTAGGTGCATGCACCACTCAGCTGCCTGCAGTTGTCCTAGTCCAAGCACAAAGGTTGATGGCTAATTGTGGCCTTCATAGACTTGGTATGGATCTATATGAGGTGGCCTCATGCCCTATGTGGCTTATAGCAAGCATGGGGGGCATTAACTAAATCTCTAATTTCTGAAATGATTCTTAGTTGATCTTCTGTCCATTTCATGTTGCAGCTGTTGCAATGTCTTTTGCTATTTTCTGATGCAACATGTCAAATCATGTTTTGTAGAGGTCATACAGTCTCTGATGTAAGTTTATTTTGTGAAGGCTCGTAGGGCATTTCGGGCTCTTAAAGGCATAATTAGGCTTCAGGCTCTTATCCGTGGGCACTTGGTTAGAAGGCAAGCTGTTGCGACTCTCTGCTGTGTGCTGGGAGTTGTCAAGTTACAGGCACTTGCTCGAGGAAGAATGGTTAGGAATTCAGACATTGGCTATGAGGTTCATAAAATATGCAGAGTGAAGCCTCTGGTAAATTCTTGAAAAAACCAAACCAACAGTTGCTTATCTTTCCTTATGTAATTATTAGGAAAATTCTTCCCTCTTGACTGATTCAAGTACCTCTTTTAGACTAAACTGATATTTGAGTCAAGTATATGAATTAAGTTTTCCTTTTTGTTTTTGTACTTTGGGTGCACTTGTGATGCTTCCAAGTGGTGCAGGACTGTAGTGTAAGATCAGTTTGAAACTTCTTTCTTAAAGAATGTCTACGAATAGTAATGACAAATAAACTTGCAACAGTTTATTATTGTAAGGTTTCAACCATTCCCAAGGCTACTAAAATCTCAGGGTTTCAGTTTTCTTCATGCACTCCCTTTCAAATTTCATGAAAATTTATAATTTGCAGGACACAATTGTATTACATGACAAATGAATAAGAGTGTGGTTCGTTTTTATTGCAGTTCTTCCAAGTTTAGTAAACTTGACAAGTTATAAAGTAACTACGCAAGGTTAAGTGAACATATCATCATTTAGTCACATTCTGAATCACAGTGCTTACTTTAGTTCTGAATAATAATTGTCCACCAGGCTTGAATTCTTTTTATTTTCTTATTTATATTGTAACCAGTCAAATTATATTGTTGATTGTGTTGCTTGTTCTACTTTTCATCATTAATTTTGCTTTCATTTGTGCATCAGGAGAGCACCCTTGGAGATTCTAACAGAGTTGTTATCCAAATGGCCAAGTTGTCATCGAATGCTTTTGTTCGCAAGGTATGAATAGAACAACGATTTAGTTGTACTACATTACATGGTGTACAGAAGAAGCCCATTTCCAAGGAAAAATTAAGAAAAACCCCAGGATATGCATTCTATGTTTTTTGACTTTATTAATTTGTTTGTCACTCCAATGATAAACAAAGCTCCTTGTGGCTATAAATAGAATCCACAAAAACCTTAATTAAACCAGATGTTGTTAGGACTAATGTAAGTGCTTATCTGGCTTCTTGATAACAACCTCGACTATTCTCTAGGAGAAAAAAGAACAACCACCTTGACAAGTTTATGGCAGGAATTGTGATTTGATTTGATTTTATCTATCGACTTAACTTTGATATGCGAAGCTCAAAAATCTGCTAACATAAGCACCAAGGATGTACCAGCCATTGATCAAATGCAATAGAGAATTCCAAATTCATTTCCTATACATCATATGAATTACTTCCACAATAACTAATGCATAGAACTAATTCATTTTCTTATAACGATACTGTAACACATGGTTTGCAATATCCCGAGTAACTCTTAGTCAGGGTTGACAATCACTTAGATTTCATATGTATTTCTCTTAATCTTTGTTCTCTCTTTAAGGAAGTTTTTAAGCATGAAAACTTGATAAAAGGGATACCTGTCTTCAAAATTAATTGTTTTCAAGGATGTTACTTTGCAGAATTTGGTAATTCAGACATATTATTTAGCAATACGGGATGCCATGAATATCATGTTGGCCTGTTTTATTAGATCCTGGAGGAACAGTTCACTCCAGGCTTTTGTATGTGAAAGGGACAAGCGCATCTTCAATGTAACTTGGTTCCATGTGCATGCAGAGCTTTCTGTCATATAAAAATAAAAGAAACATGAAACGTTCTGTAAGAGTATTTTTGGTGCTTGCACGGGGATCTGGGATATTTAGCAGTTATCGGTTAGAAAACATGCATGGATCATGGATTTTAACAACCAGCCTTTCCATTTGTTGTGCTTGAACTGGGATTAGAGATAGTTTGCAGTTTATAAATTAGAAAATATGCATGGATTTAAATAACAACCCTTCCACTTGATCTCTGATGTGACTGTTTCTCCAGCTTCTTGCTTCATCACCTACTGTGATGCCTTTGCGACTTCCCTGTGATTCTGTGGAACCAAACTCAGTTGCAAACTGGTTAGAATGCTGGTCAGCATCCTGTTTCTGGAAACTAGTTCCCCAACCAAAGAAAATTCCTTATTCAAAAACTCAGAGAAAGCAGAGCAATGGTCAAATGGTGGAAGCTGAAACTGGTAGGCCAAAGCGCAGTGTTCGGAGGGTCCCTGCTGCAAATGTGGACAGCACCTCAGTACAAGCGACCCATGAATTTGAGAAACCCAAGCGCATTTTGAGGAAAGTTTCTAGCCATCCAGCCGATTCAGTGCAGGAAAATCCACAAATTGAGCTTGAAAAGGTAAAACGCAACTTACGAAAGGTTAATAACCCCGTGGTAGAAAACTCTGCTCATTCAGAGGTTGAGATTGAAAAGCCAAAGCAAACTCTGGAAAAGGTATTTGGCACTTCAGGTGATAATGTTTTGGGACAGAGCATAAGTAATTCAGCTGAGAAGATGAAGACAGAAACTACCTTGACAACATCCAATGTGACTGATGTGGTGAAGAATGAACCAAACTCGATGTCCAACTTGGCTGCTGCAGAGACTGCTGAAGAGCCATTAGAAATGATCAAGGCATTGGAATCATCACATGACGACCAAGCTGTGGTAGAATCTAAAGCTTCAGTTGATACTGGTGTTAAAGGTGATAATACTCAAATAAATGGGCAGTCCAAACACAAGGATGATCCAACAATAAATGAAAATCACAAAACTGCCAAGAAAGCTTCAGTTGCAGTGAAACCAGAATGTGCCGAGAATGGGCTACAGAGCAGTCCAACAATCCCTAGCTATATGGCAGCAACCGAATCTGCAAAGGCAAAGCTCAGACTACAAGGTTCCCCAAGATTTAGTCATGACGGGGTTGAGAAAAATAATGTCACCCGGCGTCATTCTTTGCCATCTTCAAGTAATAGCAAAATCAGCTCAGAGTCCCCGAGGACACAAAGAGCAGTTCATGGTAGTGGCAAAGGAGGGAATAAGAGTGATAGATCTTTATTGTCTTCGAGAGATGGAAATGGTATGAAATGCTTGCTTGCCCCAGAAATCATTGAGTTTTGTTTTTTCATTCATGAACACTTGATCTGGTAGTGAAAAATACTTGAGCAATTGTTGTGCAAGTTTTGTCCTCTAAGCAATAGAGTAGTTACTATCAGCTTGTTTGTGTAATGTTTCAATGCTGTTGAGTCTCTTTAAAATCTAATGCCATGTGAAATTGCGTATCATCTTGAGGAACTTGAGCTAAACCTGAAACTTTATCGTCACTTTGAAATATTTCAATATAGTAACTGATCAAAATTTGTTATGACAAGTACTAATTAAAACGTTCTGTTTTCTATTTGACATGAGCTATTCACTTTTTTCTAAACTTATAGAGCTTATTTTTGATGTACAATATAAAATTTGATTATGATGTTCTTTCACCTTTTTTATTTGTTATGCAGCAAAAGGAACCCAACCAGAGTGGAGGAGGTGACTCTGGAACATTTGTTTCAAGGTGTTAGCGTGAGGTCTTTCATTTCATTTGCGGTTTATCTTTTTATAACTTTGGTGCAAGATCATGTTGTAACAGCGAAACTTGGTCTATAACTGGAAAGGGTGTGTTGGCTCTGAGTTCTAGTTTTCTGCAGTGACTGTTTGTGAGTGAATGAATGTACATCATAGGTTTTTTAATTTTCACTCTTGCTAAAATCTTACATTTAATTCTAAATTGTGCTTGGTTTTGACATGATTTCTGGCAGCTCATAGTAGAATTTTCCTCTTTCCATATCTCTGTTGATGTCTATCTTTCAGTGTCTCATCGGTTAACTTCTTTTCAAAGAACATTGAAATCCCTCTCCCCCTTCCACACCACCCAATCCACACTATAGGCTATTAAATAGTTGTATAAGCTTAGTAAAACGTGTAATGTAATTAATTCTTTCTACAAGGAAAAAAATCAACGGCATTCACTATCATGTGCTGAATGCTGTTTTTTGAACTGGAGCAGAATGTCTCGTACCAGGCTATAGCGCCAATTTTAATCATCGAGTGTAATAGAGTTATTATTATTATTGTTATTTTGTGTTCGGAATAAACCGTAGCAGTGTTTTGTTCTGAGGAGGTAAGAGAATGAAAGCTAGCTTCTTCTTCTTCTTCTTCTTCTTCTTTTCTCCTCACTTCTTGTGGTATGGAAATCGGATGTAAATAGGCTTAAGGTGAAAAAGTACAAGAATCAAATTTGATGTTTTTTCATGTGTTTTTTTTTTTTTTTTTTTAAAAAAATTTTTTAACATCAATGCATCAAAATCATACAAAAGTACAAAAAGAAAAAAAAGCGTTGATTTGATGTTTTTTCATTTCAAACACATTTTAGAAAGTACTTTCAAATACAATGTACACAATGTAAACATGGCCCAATAACATTTAAAAGGTCTAACACTGAAATTGAGGGATTCAATTATTGAAAAACCATTAAAATCAAGACACCATCTTATGTTGTATAACTAGGGAGGGACTCGGTTTCCCCTACTTCACCAAACAAATTGCACATGCTTTTGTGTTATTTCTGATACCAAAAGAATTCAATTGCAAATTCTTAAAGAGTTTCCAAACTCATTAATGTTGCTTTCCCACATAGAATGCCAACCTTTTTGTTCCTGTACTTGATGATAGGAGCATTATTTATTATTCGTTTTATGTGAAGAAGAAAACAACCTCATGTTCTTCACAAATTGAAAACAAAAGAAAAGAAGAAAAATAATCAATACCGGTGAAATTATTTCAAAATATTAACATAAGATTACATACAAATAAAGAAAAACGAATATACCATCTCATAAGGGGAAAAAAATAAAAATGAATATGCCTACCAACTACTGTTGCTAATCAAAACACGCAGGATTCAAAAATATATAGGAGCACACAAAGCAGTATTAATATGATTGGGCAGCAAGAATCTGATTGGTATCATAGACAATTCCATAAACTGTTCCTCTCCTCTGCCCTAACACATTTGTTCTGTCCGATGGTTGTGGTGCAGAAGGCAATGGCTGAACGTTATACGGTACAGGAATTTCATCAGAGTGGCCAGAAATGCAGAGTGAGCCTGAATCATCTTGCTCCCAGTATACTTCAACCATAATGCCACTAGGGTTCTCTGGAGATTCTGTTTCTGGGATCCCAACAAATCTAGCTCCCACAGGTATCTGCATTTTCATTTAAGCAGAAAAAAATTATAATTGATTTTTGCTTGTGTTACATAAATGAAAAACAAAAATTGTGCCTACCTGAACTGACTTCCCAGAAGTTAAGGCCAGAGTAACCATCTTTCCCTCAGTTGCAGCACTTTCTAATTCTGCTTGCTTGGCAATGTTTAAGAAAACTTCTTCAAGAGTTGCAAGGCCAAGCTGAATGTCTGATATATTGAATTCTCTTTGTCTAGCTTGAAGCTCCGCAAAAAATTTCTGTTGAAGATTTTAAATGTAAGACGCAATGGAAGAAAAAATAAAAGTTAGAAAATACTTTAACGCTATATAAGGTACGAAAAGAAAAAAGAAAAAAGAAAAAAAAACAAATTAGGATTTTCAGAATTGTTTACCGTCAACTGCCTCTCTCTATCATGAGGAACGACAAAAGTCAAGAAGGATTTGGTCTGCTCTGTTGGTATCACATCCAAATGCTGTCAAAAAATTCCCAAAATCAGAAAAAAAAAATGTTTTGAAAAATAAACAAATTTGTTGAATTGAGTCATGCATTCAACATACATATTTAAAGAACTTCTTCACAGCCTCGTGATGAACTGAAGTTTCTGCTGGCATGCGTGCAGGAGTTTGTCCACCATTGGTATCGGCAAAGCTCACATTAGCAATAAAACCAGTGCCAAACTTTGACTTCAACCTGATCGAGTTTCCGATGCATCGGAGCCTACCCTTGGCCATAATTCCTATACGGTCACTTAGAATGTCAGCTTCTTCCATCGAATGAGTCGTTAGAATAATGGCACGACCTTTCTTGGCATTCTGTATGATATCCCAGACATGCCTTCTTGATATTGGATCCATGCCAGTAGTCTGCAGATCAAAAAAAGTTGAATAAAATAATTCCTTTTATGAATAGATCAAATAAACATATTTATGATTCGTAGTATTTGAATCTCCATACCGGTTCATCCAAAATGACTAACTTTGGGTCACCAAGAAGGGCTATTGCAACACTCAAACGGCGCCTCATTCCTCCACTGTAACTCCTGGATCTTACTTTGGCTGATTCAGTTAGTTTCACCTTTGCCAATGATTCTTGAGCTACCTGCAGTCCATGAAAAGGGTAGACCAAAAGAATTATTTAGAATATTTGAGTGAGAACAACTGGGAAGGAAGTAAATTAATATTTTTGTTATAGTTTTTGGTATGGCTACAAAGATTATGATGACTGATTTAATTTTTCAGGCTCATATATTACATACCGATGCGATTGAAGCTGGGGGTAGACCTTTAATACTCGCAAAGAGGTGGAGGTGTTCTTCACCAGACAATGCATCCCAGAGTATGTCGAACTATTGAAAAAAAAAAAGTTGGAAATTTTAGTCTCAGACTAACTAGCAATAGCACATGGGGAATGCTTACTGTTAAAAATATGAAGGGACATGCAAAAGCAAAACGCATGAAAGAGAGAACTTTACCTGTGGACAAACCCCTATAATTTTCCGAATTGCTGACATGCCTACTGTGCTTCGAACGGAATCTCCATAAACCAAGGCTGTTCATACAAAGTAGTTTGAGAAATTGTTATATTGATGTGAACTTTAAACCGGTTTGTGCGTAATTGTGACTGTGAAATGAGAGAATATTACCATCTCCACCGGTCACAGGTGTTATGCCAGTCAAACAATTGATTGTTGTAGTTTTTCCAGCACCATTGGGTCCAAGAAGACAAAACAGCTGATCCTTTGTGAAGTTGACCCATAAACCCTGCAGATATCACATAAATAGCTAACATCAGAATGAGATGAAACAAAATAAAACTGCAATCCACATGTGAAAAAAGGGAGATTTGTTTTGCCCTCTCAAACCAGCATGGTACTCATGAGTTGGCAAGGAATTGCTTACTCTAAGAGCATGGTAAGGTGAAGTCTTCTTGCATTTACAACAACCAATCTGTGTGGCCCCAGGATATGTCTTTGTAAGTCCACGTATCTGAACTGCAACATCTGGGTTGACTGTGCCTTCTTTTGCTTCATTTTTTACTACGTTTTCCTCTTCAAGTACATCTTCATCATCTGGAATAACGTTCTCTTGTTGCGGGATTTCACCAGTGCAACTACAAACGCCACCCTCTGTGACAATAGAGGAAGAACACAGTCAGAACATTAATTAGCTAACAATAAGACCTATCTACGAGACATGGACTGAAGTAGAGTAGAAACTCATTTCCTTAATCACACATTCTTGCTACCAATAAGTATTAAAAAAAAGATCATTACCTTCGATCTTGTCTCCACCTTTCCCTGTCCAATACCCGCGGTTTAAGAAGTAAAACGGGGATTTTCTCACACCGGATGCGTTTTGGAATATATTGTCGAAGTAGATTGCCAAAACAAACCAGAGAAAGAACAGACATATGAGCCATGTGTAAACATCATTCTGCCAAGAAAACATGAGTTATAAACAGCTCAAGTAGCAATCGAAAATGGAAGAAATTAAGAGAAAAACAAAAGGAGATAAAAATTAATTATGAGAAAACTAATGCAAAGGCGTGAGTTCTCTGTAGAATGTATGATATGGTGGCCTATTAGTCCACATTAATATTTGGACTTTGATGTTTGTGTGCATGCGTAGGTGTTGTATTCTGGGTGAGCAAAGTGATTACTTACAACTTTGATCGCACAGTCATCAGAGTCAGGTGGACACCTTGTTCGTCCTTTCCAGCTAATTCCAACATCTTCAGGAGTGTCACTTGCATCAGATAGAATCTTCACTCCTATTGCGAGAAGATTTGGTGGGAAGAATGACCAGATGAACCGGAAGAAGCCACTAATGCTTTCCTTATATGGAAATCCGGCTATTGTAACAATCTGCAACGACAAATGAGATCAATATTAACCACATCGGAACTGACATATTGCCGCATCAAAATTTCAGAGGGGTTTGTCTTAGAGACGGTCTTAGGCTAGGGGTAAATTTCATTTATAAAACGTTTTCCTATTCCTTGATATTTAGTTGGGAAATCTTGCCTGCGTCATAAATCCGACTATAAATATGGAGAAACCCATTGTTGTGCCTGACGAGGCCTTGCTGATGAAGGTCGACAGCATGAAGGAGAAACCAATCTAGCATCATACGTGAGAAAAGACAGTAAAGGGTTAATATGAATAAAGCTTATATAATAAAAAAAACACTGACACCAGCCTACAGATAAAAGTAGAAGTAATCTTACCATGTTGACCTGGAAAAGGAAGAACATAAAGAACAGGACTGCGAAATTGTTCTTCTTGAAAAAATCAAACTGAAACATCATTCCAAAAAGAACCAGGAAAAGAGATGAAATAAACGTAATAATTCCCTCCCATGCGATCCATGAGCTCCAATACGCAGATTCATAAAGACCAGTCATATTCATTGCCTGTGAAGAAGATAAAAAAAATGAACCAGTAAATAATCTATTATCAGAATATAAAGAATTCATCAACAATTATAATCTTGTTTAACTCTACACGGCAGATCGCTAATACCTGGCGAAGTTTGAGCTCTTTCTCAGCCACCAAATTACTTATTTGTAACACAAATCCAAACATGGTAAATGCCAGGAAAAAAGCTGGTCCTACTGTAGCCACCGCAGAAAAGGTAGGCCTTGCAGGGTGTGCATATTCCGTGAGTCCCACATTCCAGTTAAAGTTTGGATCTGAACATCCAGAATTTCAAAATGTTAATTTCACATGATTAAAGAAAAGAAGGCGGCACTATATGTATCTAAAACAATTTCTACAGAACAAATCGACAAAAATTAAGATTTTCAGACCTCCAATAATAGACCGAGCAATCTCACGCTCTGCCGCAATTTGAAGTGGAATTTGAAATTTGAAGGTGGGATCTTCATATTGGCCTCGCCGAGCAATTGGAGTAGAGTTAGTCTGTAGACCATAGGTGATTAAACTGGGGCTCACATCCACAAAATGCAGAGCTCCTGGTGCTTGCATAGGATTGCTAAAAAGCCAAGAATCTACTTCATCTTGTGTTCTGAATGATTTAACCTGCAAAAGCAAAAGGCACAAACAGAAAAGATTATTTAGAATTTTTTTTCATGAACAGAAATTTTCTTCTCAGAGATTTTCCAAATTAAGTATACTAAATGATAGTCTAGCTTCTCAACAAACAGAACAAAAAAAATTGAACCATGATAATCCAATACATGAAAAGTAAAAACACAAATAATTCCACTACAAAAAGTAAGAGAGAAAGCAATACCTCAAAGGTGCAATCAGTGAGGCTAACTTAATTCATATAACCTAATCCTTTCTTAACAATTAAGTTGACCTCAAAAAAAGGAAAAACGTATACAGATAGGACTCCATTGGTTCCTTTATTTTCTCAAAAGGATTTGCATTACTTAAAATAGACATTACAAATCTTAAAAAAAAAAAAAAAAAACCCCACGATTTTGATTTGTTTCTTTTCTATCACTTACTTAATTAGAAGCCGAAAAAAAAAATCCACACATTTCATTTTTTCCAAAAACCCAGTTCAGTTTAGCATCACATGAGATCCTTTACGATAATCACCAGAAGAAAAAGAAAAGAGAATTTAATTTTATGATTGTAAATTTTGTAATAATTTAGAATTAGGTACCTTTTCAGATGGAATTTTTCTGTTAGGATTATTATCCCTGATGGCTGTCACGATATTGCCAATTCTAACACTGTCGTTTCCACTCCAAACGAAGTCAAAACAAGGCTTTTTAACATAGAATTTTTCCTCACAAGGAGTGATCGGATGCTCCCACATAGGCTGTGGATTCCTCACGGTTTTAAACCCTGTCGTCGTACTTGTGCGAGACTCCGTTGCCTTCTCGATACAGAACAACAAGAACATGAAAAAGAAAGAAGCGAAGAGCTGCAAGAATGTTGCACTCTTGTTTCTCCATGAAAGCAACAGGTTTTTCTTGAACAAAGCTATGAATTGCTGGTAGAGTAATGGCAATCCTTGTACCAGCTCCATGTTTTTCCTTTTCTGTTTCTTTTCTTTTCTTTCCTTAAATTTTCGGTTTCTAAATCTAAATTCTGAAGTGAGAGAGAGAGAATGCTGGGGCTTAAAAAAGCGCGGTTTGAAGGTGGTATCCAGGGCTAATTTGGTCCAGATGATTGATAACAATTGGGCTTGGTTTTATTCTAAATTACAGAATGGCCACTCTGACTGGACTTTTCAAAAATGGGTCGAGGGTAAGATGGGAAAATGAAATAGGGGAGCGCAATTAGATTGGAGATTTTTCTTAAATTACTAGAAGTGCCACTGATTTTCTTGGAAAGCGGGTGGAAAAAGTCCGTCGCGTTCATATCTTGAGCCCATAATTATTAGATTATAAAGTTTTGCAAAACAGATATGTATATAATAATATGTTTAATTAAATGAAATTGCTAATTTTAATCCTAAATTTTATAAACAATTAATTACTCATAAATTGATGAGTGTGGTGCAAAAGGCAAGAGATGTTTGTCAATAATAAATAAATAAAATTACTACAAGTAGTAATACGTAATCTTCATTGCTAATGCATATCAATTTTAAGGAGTTGATTAGAGAATTTTGCTTCTTTTTTTTTTTTTTTTTCTGAAATCAAATTTTAAAATTAATTTTAAAAAAATTGTTAAAATTTCTTAAACTCATAGTGTTGATACGTAGAATATGTCCTTATTAAATTTATTATTAATAGATGGTTTTCTTATCTTTCAAATATTATTATTGACTTTTACGCAAAAAGATCTCTTTCAACTTCTAGAAGAAAGGAAGCAACCTGAGAATCTCATCTGAAAAGACGAAAAAGCAAACACATGAGGAGACTTTGTCAACCAATAGCGTAATAGCCACCAATGCTGGCAAAGTTAGAGGAGGTGGACACTGACTCCTAGTAAACAAAAATTACGGGCAATGCTGGGTCGAAATCAATTGTAGAAATTATGAGTGAATAATCTGTTATTACAGGATGATGCGAATATTTGGATTATCGGAAGCGCGAAACGGTAACAATATCTATCTCCTTTGGTAAGACGTTGCTTTCAATTATACGTCCAGCAAATGTCAATGATGGAACAATTAATTTTGTATTTTAATCTAGCTGAAAAATCAGGGTATTCAAAGCCAAGCCCGCCAGTCAAAGTAGACAACTAAAAAGAAAAATAAAATCATGAACTAGTCTGTGCTACCTTTTATATTATTATATTAATTGCTTCTCCTCTAAGATTATTCGCTTCCGCTTTAGCTGATACTGTGTTCTTTTCCTAATTGCTATTTTATTAATTTTTTAATTTTAAAATTTATTGTATTGTCGAAAAACCGAGGACAGAGAGAGAGAGCAACAGGAGAATCAAATTAATTAAATACATTCAATTGTTTGGGAAGCTGTATTTGATGAAAAAAAGAAAAAAAAAAAAAAAGAAAAAGAATAAGAAGATGCCTCGTATCGCATCATTATTGTGGATATATAATAGATTTTTATGAGGAAAAAAATGGATCGACAAGGTAAGAGTAATATCCTCACATCAATATATATATATGAAAAATTCTTAAGTAATCAAATTTACTGTTAGGAAGGTTTTTCAATCCCATCCCCCACTCTTAAGAAATCAAATTCTCGAATATTGGACATTAATTTTCTAGGACATCAATTCCTTTCAAAGCTAGCTAGGATTACCAATAATAGCATTAAATAATAAATAGATACCTAAATCCATTACGTGTTAATAGATATATTTATTTAGGGTTTTGCATATGTATAGACGTCGTATAATTTGAATTTTTTTATTGAAACCTTAAGTTTTTTTTTTTTTTTCTATCCAATTTAAGAGTTCTATTTTTATATTATTGTTGTTTTAAACTTTAATGTATTACGTAAATACATGTGGCAAACCCCGACTAATGACAACTCGCCACATATCATGGTGGGTTCAAATTGAGTTTTTAATAAAAATAATTTTTTTTAATGAATTTTAAGTAACTAAACAAATAATAAACCTAAAAATAGTTTAGGAAAATACAATTCAATCGTTATCCACTAAAACTAAAAATCCCATTCTCTCTCTTATTCATTTCAGCTTTTTTTTCTCTTTTCTCCTCCTTCAATCTATAATCAAAAGTGACAATTTTTAATCCTTAAATTTCAAACCCTCATACCCGACTCTCAATTTTCCAATTATAAACCCTAATCCCCATTTCCCATTTTCCCTTTAACGTTTCCTCTCTCTTTCTCTTTACGTTGCGTTTTCTAATTCCTAATTCTTTTTTTCTCTTTTCGATGAATTGTATTTTTCTAACCTATTTTTAGGTTTATTATTTTTTTAGTTAATTAAAATTTATCAAAAAATTTTTTATTTTCATTATAACTCAATTTTGGGCCACCATGACACTCGCCATGACACTTGATAAGTTGTCATTCACTAGAGCTTACCAATGTACTTACATGGCATATTAGGGTATGAAACAATAATATAAGAGTTAATTATTTTTCTAACCTATGACACCCGCCATGACACTTGATAAGTTAATTCCTAATATTATAACTCAATTTTGGCCCACCATGACACCTGTCATGACACTTGATAAGTTGTCATTCACTAGAGCTTACTAATGTACTTACGTGGCATATTAGGGTATGAAACAATAATATAAGAGTAGTTCTACATGACACTAGTGGTGAGAAAAAAAAGTCACCATAATTTTATAAGGATAGTGTTTTCTTGGAGGAATACAAGAAAGAGTACTTTATTTCAATGAGTAATATGTCATTTAATATTTTTACTTTTTAAATTTACCCTTAAACCCTTTCTATTTTTGAAAATAGTGTTTGTCACCATGGTGTCGCCAAGTATTTTCCTAATTTTAAATATAGATAATATGTGTACTTATATATGTGCATAAAGAATGAATTAATAATTTAAAAAACTTGCTTTTTTTGACTTTTAATTTTGGAGCCATCATTTAAAAGAATTTATTACTTGTTTTTTTTTTTTAATATACCAAATTGATATAGGAAGGTGTTATATATATAAACAAATCTAGATTGATACATAAATAGACTCTAGAATACTTTTACTATGAAGTATATATATATATATATATATATATATATATATATATATATATATATATATATATATATATATATATTCTTTAATTATTTAGAAAATATATACATCATATTGCTTGATTTGATATTTGAATTTAAAGAAAACAATAAACTTAATATTTTTTTTGTAAAATTTAAAAAATAAACCAAACATGATAAACACGATTTATTCATTTTTAACCCAATAACATATTCATGGGTATCATATTTTTATCGATCACATTCCAAAAACATCTGAAAATTCCCACACCTCATGAGTCATTTGAGTGTTATATTAACGTAACAAGGGCATACATGAAAATTGACTAATATATCATTTGCTTACATAATTTTATCAATTTTTACCCTATATAATCTTTTTAAAAAGTAATATAATTATATCATGAGATCTCACTTAATAGTTTAAGTTCTTAGATGAAATAGTTTTTTGACTTGATATTAAAGCTTGATTGATCAATTGATCATGAATTCAAGTTTCATTATCTTTGTTTTCTCAAGTATTAAATACAGAAAAATATGCACTATTCAAATTTCAAATCCAAATATGTAAATTTTTACTTGATAACATATAGAACAATAAATAATATAAATCATAAGCTGAGAATAAAATAATCAAGGACATGACAAATCGGCAATGACACCAACGTTAATTCTTAAAAGTCAAGCTCTGGTTGGTGCTGCATGGAGCGCAGCCCCACTACAGAATTCACAATAGCCAAACGCTCATTTGTACTGACTTTGTGAATTTCCCGCCATTTCGTTTCTCAACGGCTACTTTCTTGACTATGCTTACCAGATGTTTGATCAAAATCCTCAACCAGGTCAAAACTCTCTTAGCATACAGATGCCGTTCAATCTTTGCTTTCAAATGCATGATACCCATACGGTTAAATCGTTTTACGGCTCCACCTGTTATCAAGTCGTACTCTTCTTTATTCGCCATTGATGTGGGGAAACCTGTTCGTTCTTCGATCATAAATTATGGGCAATGTTTATTTTCAAACTGCAAGCTAGGGATTGGCGATTTCGATTCTCCAAGGAAAGTTTTTGATGTGATTTTGGTCAAGGATCGCATTACTTATAACGGTTTGATTTCTGGTCATTCGAGGTTTGGTTACATAGGTTATAGCACCATGGAAGCTGTTTGATTTCTTGAAAGAACTGTTGTCTCAAGGAATACCATGATTTCTTACAAAGGAGAATCGTACGAGGATTTTCGAGACAATTAATGCCGGCTAGTCTAGTGACTCTGCTTTCGATATGCACTAAGGTCAGAGATGTAGAGATGGGACTGGGTGTTAAGAAGTACGTAGATTAATCGATGATGACAATTATCTGTGCGTGCACAAATGGAGATTTACGTGAAATGTGGGGCTGTGTATTGTTGATGAATTAAGCACATCCACAATTCGACAGAATAAGTAGCTAGGAGAGGTATTGTTTGCAATGATAGCTGGTTATGCCCAAAATGGGAGATCAAATGACTTTTATCAATTGGTTTGAGTTTTTCTGTTGGCGTAGCAGAAAAGTGGTACTGATTCGTTGACGGAGACGATTAATTAAGTAATTAATTATATAAAAAAAAAAGTTCAGTCCTTCACCAGAACAAACTCTGAAGTTTGAAGTTTATTTCCTTCACCAGAAATGTGGTACATTAAAACCAGGATAGTTAGTATTTGAAGTTTCCCTCACAGTCAATGGATGTGGAGCAGTTGAATGATGGGTAAATATATTGTTGGATATATAAATCGTTAACTTCAATCTGAAGCAATTAGGTAGATACACCCAGCAACATTAACGAGTCTATTTTCCTCCTTATAGTCTGCCCTTTTTTTTTTTTTTAATTTAAAAATAACAACTGAATCAACCGAATTATTTCCCTTCCAACTTCTGCTCGAAATCAAAAGAAATCCTAATATTTTATTTACTTTCTTTAATTTATTTCTAGATCGTCTCCAGTCATACATTTGAAAAGGAAATTTCTAAGCAGCTGCAATCTTTTAACATTCTGTACTGTTTAAACTATTTGGATTCCCGACTACTCTTTCAATCTAACTAATACCGTATACGTACAAAAGGGTACATTCCCATTTAACTGGAATTGTTATTTACGGAAGTTGAACAAATTGTGGGAATTTTGTCATCAAAGGAGACCGATTAAGGAATCAATGAAGCAACCCAGTAACTTCCAGCAAAAACAATTTATACGAAAAGTCCTTTCAAAATTTAAAGCGTCCAAGAATTTCTTGCTATTGAATCTTAGGAATTGTTTATGATTTTTCAGTTGCTGCTTCGTTAAATGCAATTTCTAGAGCATTTCATTCACATTTACAGACAAGTACATAAGTTTTAAAGATAAATTAGCTTGAACCTGCAGAAATTAATTAATAGAGCCTGCATTACGCATGCTGGCCGGATAGAAATCATTCACATTATTATTATTTATTTATTTGCAATCGAAAGTACTTGTCATCATGACATCCATAATATAGTCCATCTTTCATTGCTTTATTAATTCTAGCTTTGATCCTTGACTTCTTTCATTTTTTTTTTTATTTTTTTTTCTGGAGACAACTGCCTGTCGTGATACTGAGATAAAAGTAAAACAAAAAATTGTGCTTGTCGTGGCCGTGGCTCTCTCTCTCTCTTCTCAACTTGGATGTTTTTCCAACGGCTTCAGGCATTTTCCATGACTATTATCATAAAGCTTCAAGCAACTGAGTCTATTTTCTTCTAGATAGATTGACTAGTCCAAACATAAGTACTTGTCTGTATTAGAAATATGCATTTGTATCCAAATTATTATTATTATTATTTGCCTTTCTCTATGCACTAGTTAGTTTCCTATATGTATGTATATATATATATATATATATATATTCCTTTTATATTTTAGCATTAGATGATACATAGTTTTGAAATAACTTGGGTATACAGCTAGCTAGCTTCTAGAATTCACCTCTTTAAGAAATTAACAACTGTGAAATTAAAAATCCGAATGATTTTACCAACACAAAAGGTTGTCTATTCAAGGTAACTTATTAAGTATCTTGTTTTCGGTTCAAACTTTTTATAATTAGTCGTTAATCTATTTTTTAATAATAAGATAATTCTTCAATCTATTTTTGTATTTTTAATTGAGTTAATTTTATGTTTAAATATAACTAAGTTATCGAAATTAATATACAGTTTTCATATGAAACTTAATTTTCTATTCGTTTGGCTTACAAAAACATCATGAAAATAAAAAAAATAATTAAGTAAAAATCACCTGATTAATTTTGGTGCGAAAATCTTATAAAAAAATAGATTAGAAAGTACTTAATAGATAAATAATTGAGACAATTAAAAATATAATAACAAATTTGTTACATCCAACCCAGTTGGAATTTTAAATATATTTAAATATTTTCAAGAGTTTGATATAAAGTTTCTTTAACATTTTGAGTTTGAACTTTAGGATCACTACGTGTAGAAATTTATTTATTTTTTTTAAATACATCAGGTGGATACTTATTTTAAATCATTTTGAAAAAATAATTGATTTTTTTGAGTTGGAAAATTTAGAACCAGTATATGTATAAGAATTTATTTTTTTCCCCAAGTAAACAGGTACACATGAAGTACACGTAAAAGGACGAAATAATTGATGCGTAAACCCGTGTTGATTTGAATAAAAAGAGAAAAAATTAATATTAATTTGGAATGCCCGTCAGTCTCCGTCTCCGTCTCCTCTATGGCAAAGGAGATGTACCCATTCTGTGGATAATTGACCCCTTTGATTTTTATTAATCCCCAACGCATCGCATTTGACCAATGACCAACGTCCTATATCATCAGGCATCCATCTCTACCTATCAATTAATAAACAATAAAATCCAAACTCCATCCGCTTCAGCAATATTGTTTAGACTTCAAAATAAGATACGGGGGGTACTTTTGACATTTCAGGTCAACGACACTGAACGGTCAAAACGCGTGAGGATTCGAACGAAGGGCAGTTTGGGCAGTAAGCAAAGACGCCGCAGCCTCTCAAGTTGTAAATCCAAAGTCAAAAGAGCCAACTTCATTACCAATTCCGTAAGTAGAGGAAGTAGTCAGGGGTAGAAATGTCAAATGAGGGAATGGTCGCCAAAACGAAACGCATAAAAGGAAGAGCTCAGCAGCTCTAATTTATTTAAAGCTTTGCAGTTTCTGGTGCCATTGCCATTGCCATTGCCATTGACATTTCTCTCTGCTGTTTTATTCCTTCCTTTTCTTTTGGCGGTCAGTTTTTTAGCCAAACAAATTAAAAGAACAGACTTGATCAGTTATAACTAAGCTGGTTGTTGGCGGGAAATTAATAAGAAAAAGGCTTGGTGTTGGTGTTGGTTTTGGTTATTTCCAATGGCGGATTCGGAAACATCACATAATACAGCAGCTTTCTGGATTCAAGCTGATGCTTTGCTTAGAAAGAACTTAACCTATCAGGTTAGTATACACAAATTTAGTTCAATTAATTCTTGTGTAATTGCTTATTTATAGTTAGCTAGAGGCCATCATACCATGTTTCTTTTCAGAACAAAACGGAATGGTTTTTACAAGTTGTGTGTTTTTTTCCAAAAACAGCAAACGACACCAAATGAATGGTTGTATTGGTTTTGACTAATGGAGATTGATGATAATATGATTGTTTGTTTGCAGAAACGAAACATTAGTGCGAACTGCAGGCTAATTTCGTTCCCATTTGTGCTCTGTATACTCCTTATTATCACTCAAAAATTGGTTGACAATCAAATAAGCAAAGCTAGTAATCAGTGTGGCTGTCAGTGTATTGATACAAATGGAGATGGAACATGTGAGAAAGTGTGTGGTGTACAGTTCTCAGATTTGGATCAATCGCCTAGTTGTCCTGTTCCTAGCCCCCCCAAGTGGCCTCCCTTGTTACAGGTTCCAGGTCCTCAATATCGTGCCGTCAGAAGTGCTTCGGATTCTTTCACAGATTTGCCCGACCAGTCTTGCAGACAAACTGGCAACTGTCCTGTTACTATTTTTATCACTGGATCAAATCAGACGCTTGGACAAAGTAATTACTCATTTCTTTATTTCACCTACCTGCACCTCCTACCCTCAAACATGGAAATGAATTAATCTTGTTTGTTTTTATTCATAGGTTTGGCTAGCAGTATGTTCACAATTGCTCCCCCTCTTAATTCCACCAACAGCGTGCTGGTTAGTTGTTTTTCCTGCTTCATCTCTCATCTAATTCTTCTTCTTCCTCTCTTAATTCACTGTATAATAAATATGACCTTTTTTCAAAATGTTTCAGGGTGCAGATTCAGAAACTAAACAGGATAATTTTCTTGATCCTGCTTTCATCGAGCTTTCTCTCTACAACATTCAAAGTCAGTGCTCAACGAATTCTTCATTCAATGTTTCTGTTCCTCTTCCTCTTACTCAGCAATCATTCAACTTCCAAAAAGGTAAAATAAAAGTTACCAGTGCATACTTGAAACTCCTCAAGAATTCCTGCATGTTATTTTCATAGTATTGCTGGAACATGGAGATTCTAATTTTCACTAGGTAGAAATTATAATCATGCACAGCCTGCTAATAATAAATTCACGGTCAACGAATAAGATCATTAGTTACAACTTTTAGGCTCACCCAATCTTTTTTTCTCCTCTTTGAGGGGAATGAGTTTTAATAATCCAGTACAGCAAAACACCAAATCATCATGTAGTAATGTATTAAACAACGCAAGATATGGGGAGGCTAGAAATTGAATTTCACCAACATGTAAAGAGTTAAAGGTTCTTTCTTATCTTTTTAATGGTTTGATTCATTTTTAATTCTTTCTTTATTTATTTTTTTAATGGACCAATGCCTGGAAGTGGCAATGACTTGTAAATCAGAGCAATAAAAACGTTTAGGCTTTTTTTTTTTTATAAAATTTTTGAACGGCTTATGTAACTGTTATTTTCCATGTATTTTATAAAATTAAGAGAGGATCGCAAAACCACAAAGTGTAGTCACCAAAGAACAAGAGAAATATGAAAGGAAAAAGTAAGAAGAACACAACTAAACCTGGTGCGAGCTAAGAACTTGTACACAGAAAATAACGAATAAAAAGACAGAACATAAGGATGTAACCACAGAACAGATCTGATGAAAATGAGTTTGTGAATTGGGAGTTTACAGGTTCTGGCCACAATTACTCAAGAAAACACAATGGCACATTCTTTGAATCAATTTATACCTATGCTTACCTTATTTTTTTCCGAAGTCACAACTGATGCTTATTAGAAAGAATGGTTCTGCATGTCCAGCACAATAAATGTTTTACTCTTTTGTAGCTCAATATTTCTTCACTCCTCTTTGTTCTCTAATTACACGACTAGTTTTCATGTGACATTCTGATTTTTGTTTATTCACTTATTTTCTTAAAATACAGAGGCAATGTGTGTTCCTAGTCTAAATTTGTGGCGCAATAGTTCTTCAGAGATAAACGACCAGATATACAGGGGATATGAAAAAGGCAACGCACAGAGGATGTATAACGAGATACTTGGAGGTTGGCCTTCCTGATTTCAATATAAACCTAGTGTTTGATTGTAATAGTACTATGTTTTGAGAATTCTAACCATTTCTTTTTTCTGCAGCCTATGATTTCTTAAACTCCGATGCGAATAATTTTAATGTGAACGTTTGGTACAATGCCACTTATAAGGATTCTGCAGATGGGCAAACCTACTTGGTGCGATTGCCGCGAGCAGTAAATCTGGTATGCAAAGTACCTGTAGTGCGTACTCTATTAAATCCGTTCCCCCTCCTCAAAAGAACAAGGCTGTATTTATCATTGTAACGTGTCCAAAAATTTGCACTCTTTATAGGATCTTTCTCATCTAATTTTTTTTATCATCTTTTTTGGACCTTGCAGTCACAACTACTGCTATGGAATTTCATTTTTTTTTATGCCCTTGTTTATACATTTATTTTCCATGGTTTCTGAGCTTTATATCATTCTCTTCAAACGAGGACACAAGCTGATGCTTCTATGTTCACAGGTATCAAATGCCTTTCTTCAGTTTCGAGGAAGAATGGTATTAGATTTTGTCGCAGAAATGCCTAAACATGCAACAAAGCTCAAGCTGGACATCGCATCTCTTCTTGGCACTCTCTTCTTTACATGGGTTGTCATCCAGCTGTTTCCTGTAAGCATGTGATCCATTGCTTGTCAGCTTTTATTTATTTTGTGGCTATAATTTTCTTGAAAATTTTGTTAAATCGTGAATTCTATGACCAGTCCAATGCAACTGACTTTGTCGGAAAAATGGGTTAGAAACACCTAAGGATTATTGTATTTGATCATGACAAGTCTGATATTTGAATGAACATTAGTTTGTTCAGTTTAGTTTCCTCCTTTGAAAATGATAACCGATTTCTTATAGTTTGCTTCCATAAAATTAATAGGAAGCATTTTAATCCATGTAAATTTAAAAGATTTCACATGAGCAAAAACTTCTGATCTATCAATTGTGTTCTACGGTGAGACATATATTTGTCATGAACTCATAGTGAAAAATTGATGCATGTATAGATGCTTTTGTTTGCATGGCTTTTTTTCCAACAAAGGCCACATCCTTAATGTGAACTTTAGTTGAGACTTCCTTCTTGAAAGTTTCATTTTTCTGAAGAGCATTCATTTGTATATGCATTTTTCTGAAGTTACATGATCTTGATTTATTTTGCTACAGGTGGTCTTGACAGCGCTGGTTTATGAGAAACAACAAAAGTTACGGATCATGATGAAAATGCATGGGCTTGGAGATGGGCCTTATTGGATGATTTCTTATATGTATTTTCTGGCTATATCTTCACTATACATGTTCGTTTTTGTGATCTTTGGCTCAATAGTAGGTAGGCATTACTCCAATCCTCAATGTTTTATAATTTTGCTTTTACTTCAAGTTACTAACATGGCTAAATTGCAGGTTTGAAGTTCTTCACACTGAACGACTACCTCATCCAATTTGTGTTTTATTTTCTCTACATAAACCTGCAAATTTCCTTGGCGTTTCTGGTCTCTGCATTCTTTTCGAACATCAAGACTGCTACAGGTTTGATTTTAGCTGTTTGATTTATTTGTTAAACGATATTTACTTTTAATGCCACCTTGTTTTCTTGTTCCTGATGGTTGAATTCGATGATTACAGTTGTAGGCTATATATGTGTCTTTGGAACTGGGCTTCTAGGTGGCTTTCTTTTCCAGCCCTTCGTTACAGACCCTTCATTCCCAAGTAAGTAAAAGAATCTGTGAAACAGAAGTACTTTCTCCTTCCTTTCCCTCCGGCTCTTTAAGTTTACTAATGGAGTTCATGGGAAAGAAACCCAACGTTCAGATTTTATGCTATTGCATCTGTCGTTGCAGTTGTTTCATTAACAGATGTGAGGAGGCTAATGATTGTTTATATAATTTAAAATTTGTTGTCTTTTGTGGAATGTAAGATACTGGTAGTAACTCAATGGTTTGCTGTGCAGCCTATTATGTTGGTCTATCAGCCTAATTGTCCACCAGTTGCAGCTGTTGGTTGTCAATGTGCAATAGTTGTCTAGGTTTTACATATTGTGTGTTTCTACTTTTTGCCAGCTTCAGTACTCATATGGGACTTGTTTGTCTTGTTACAGAGGGATGGATCATTTTGATGGAGTTATATCCTGGTTTTGCTCTATATCGTGGCTTGTATGAGTTTGCAGAGTATTCTTTTAGCGGCAACTCTATGGGTACTGATGGCATGAAGTGGGGAAATTTGAGTGATAGTGAAAATGGGATGAGCGACGTGATGATTATCATGCTTCTTGAATGGTTGGCGGTGCTAGCTATAGCATATTATGTGGATCAAATTTTTGCATCTGGAAGTGGAAAAAATCCTAAATATTTATTGCAAAAATTTCGGAAGAAGCGCCCATCATCTTTCCGGAAGCCTAGTTTGCGCAGGCAGGAATCTAAAGTTTTTGTTGATATGGATAAACCTGATGTTATTCAGGAGGTAACATTTCCTTTTATCCAAATTTAATATGAGTAATCATTTCATGCTAGAGCTCAAGTCTATCTGCTGCAACTGTGAAGGTGGTCACGATCTAACATCTGTGGATTTTGTAGGATGAAATATAAAACGTCATAGTTTTATTTTGACTATAAAGAAAAATTTCAGTCAGTTTCATATATATATATTTTTCTTAATCTTTTTGGTGGCATGCTAGATTTTGTCTTCTTCCAGAAGAGTCAAGAAGGTGGTTGAAGTAGAGTATTTATCAAACAATAAATTTTAAGATGGAATGGCTTATGCCTCTAATCATTGCAGACCTAGGGTTAATACTTCATGATGTTTTATGATCTTCTATTCACGTTTTTGTCAATAATTAAACTTAATTGTTTGATCTTCAAATACTTCTGCTTCAATAATTCGTAGTCAGTCATGTGTAAATGTTGATTTTGTGCACAACCTTTTGAATGCAGAGGGAGAAGGTTGAGCAATTACTGCTGGAACCAACTACCAGTCATGCCATCGTCTGTGACAGCCTGAGAAAGGTGTATCCAGGAAGGGACGGAAATCCAGAAAAAGTGGCAGTGAAAGGATTATCTCTTGGCATACCTCGAGGGGAGTGCTTTGGCATGCTAGGTCCAAATGGTGCGGGGAAAACCTCTTTCATTAGTATGGTCAGTATACGCTCTTTGCTACTGTAATTCCATTGTAGCGACTCAACTTTTTGTTATGTGTGGTATTACCAAATTTCTGTTTTTGACGCTCAAAAAAATAGCTTTCAAGCACTTACATTTTCTTGTTCTATAATAGAAAATATGTTCACGAGAGGTCTTGATCAAATAACCATTCGTGATCAATAAATCTAGTGTAACTAAGAGTTGAAGCATCTTGGGAAAGGGTTATGTGACCTTTGCCATTCCTTGAGTTTCTTGAGAGTTCTTCTTAATTGGGATAAACTTTGGTTTCACTAGTCTTCCTGAGAAAGTACAACTAGAAAAATATTTTTAATATTTCTGACTTAATTTTATTCTGTTGATTAGATGATTGGGCTCACAACCCCATCCTCGGGGACAGCATATGTTGAGGGATTAGACATACGGACTCAAATGGATTGGGTTTATACCAGCATGGGCGTGTGCCCGCAGCATGAGTAAGCTAATTCTTGGTTCTGTTTTCTTCAAGAAATACATTTTCATCTTCAGCTCGAATGCTGACTTTTTTGTTCTGTTAATTTTTCCTGGACAACTTTTTAGCCTGCTATGGGAAACTCTGACGGGAAGAGAACACTTATTATTTTATGGCAGACTTAAGAACCTAAAAGGCGCTGCTTTGAAAAAAGTAAGTCATTATCATCTTAACTTTCAGCTTTTAGCATGTCGAAGGTCATTTTACTCTCTTTAAGAAATAGGTGATTGCTGGAGAATTTTCAGTTGGAAATTGTTTTACACTATTCCTTATTCTTCCAACGCATAAAGTTGCCTCAACAAATTTGAATGGAAACAAATTTAACTACTCAAATTTAAGAAGTGGAATTTATAATCTCTGTTGAGGGATAGAGAGGATATATAAGTACCATTGATTTAATTTGAAGTAGATTTGTGGACCAGTACTACTATAGTGGATAGTGGAATCAATGGTTTAGTTTACTGGATCTTCTTATTTGGACAAGTTTTAAGTGTCTCTCTCTCTACCATTCTGTTTCTCTAGGCCGTGGAAGATTCTCTTAGGAGCGTCAACCTATTTAACGGAGGTGTTGCTGACAAACAAGCTGGGAAATACAGTGGAGGTATGAAGAGAAGGCTTAGTGTTGCCATATCACTGATTGGAGATCCCAAAGTACGTCATTATCTCTATCAATAATATCTTTCTGCATGAAATTTTGGATTGGTTTTATTCCTTCAATGCTCTTGCTAATCACACTTCTTGGAACTTGCAGGTTGTTTATATGGATGAGCCCAGTACTGGATTAGATCCAGCTTCGAGAAGCAATTTATGGAACGTTGTGAAGCGTGCGAAGCAAGACCGAGCAATTATTCTGACCAGTACTACTCTCTCTCTCTAATAATACTTAAAAGGGAATTTTACACCTTGCAGTTTCACTCACAATGTTTGACTTCTTGTTCTCAGCTCATTCAATGGAAGAGGCAGAGTACCTGTGTGACAGATTAGGAATTTTTGTTAGTGGAGGCTTGCAGTGCGTAGGAAACCCAAAAGAGGTAACTACGAGACAAATCATTTTGTATTTGCTTACAGATCTCGCATGATTCTTTTGCACAGAGACCCAAATGTTTTTCCTTTTTATTTCTTTTGATAAACTTTTAAAAGCTGGCTTTGGCATTGTATATAATTTTTGCTGTTCGTATGGTACTGTGCTACAGCTGAAGGCTAGATATGGTGGATCTTATGTGTTCACAATGACGACATCCATAAATGATGAGCACGAGGTGGAGCACATGGCTCGGCGTCTCTCCCCCAATTCTGAAAGAACATACCATATGGCTGGAACCCAGAAGTTTGAGATGCCGAAAAATGAGGTCAGCATGGCAGATGTATTCCACGCAGTTGAGGTTGCAAAAAGCAGGTTCCCAGTTTATGCTTGGGGTCTCTCTGATACCACCTTAGAAGATGTCTTCATCAAGGTCGCTAACTCAGCCCAGCAATTCCACACCCTTACGTGATTAGATATAGATGTTTTGATTGTTTATAAAATTTCATGCTACTTCCATATATGTTTTTGATTTTTGATTTGATTTATTTTTACATGTAATGCCCTACTTCATTTGTATGTAGATATCACCTAAGATTTTGAGCATATATCATATTGATTTTGTGTCCTACTTCAATATTATTGAGTGTTTAGTGGGGTAGTGCTATCCTACTGAAATGCATATTTGAGAAATTAGTCATTCAGTTTCAAATCTTATTATGGTGCAGAAAATTATCAAATTTACAACTACCAAATTAAGCCATCGCATAAAATATCAATCCTATACATAGTTTTAAATAGCGATCGCGGTTGAAAAAATAATTGCGATCGTAGATCGCGATAATAAAATAACGATTGCGGCAACCAATGTCGTGAATACATTAGCAATTGTTAATAAATTTATTCTAATTCATATATTTTTAACACTTTTATTAATTAAGTATACTAATAAGTAATAATATCTTTAATAGTTTAATATCATATAATAATAGTTGAATTTATAAAAAAAATAAAAATTAATAACATTTCTAATAGATAAATATCACAAAAAAAAAAAAACCAAATACATTACAATTTTAATAAAAACATTACAAAATATTCAACTTTAAAATAATCGTAATAGAGAATCATAATAATAGCTGTGATTCTTGTCTATCAAAGTTACAATAATAACTAATTTTGAAAACCAAAATTAAAAATAATATAAAATTTAAAAAATAATAATAAGTTTTTAAAACAATAAAGACCATCTTATTTATTTTCTCAAAATAAAAGGACTAATTTATAATTTATTCAATTAAAGCAACGATTAAATCATACACCAATCCTTCTAGTTTTGATTAAATTAGTTTTTAATATTTTAAAAACTAATTATTTAATCTCTTAATCGGTATTAATCATGTTTAAAGTTTAATATTTTATTCTATAAAATATTTTTTCATCAATCTTTTTCATGGTATAAATTTATTTTTTTCATTTTTCTATTTTTTAAACAAAAAGAAAAATAAATTAAAAATATAAAATGAACAAAATAAATAAATTATTGATTTTTGAAATAGATGGACTAACTAAATTATTGTTTCAAAATAAGAGGACTAATGTATAATTTATTCCATCAAAACCAAGAAAAGTAGGTTTTTGATATTGAAGTTTTGGTGGGTATTTTCATCAATTTTTTTCATGGTATAAATTTATTTTTTCATTTTTCTATTTTTTAAACAAAAAGAAAAATAAATTAAAAATATAAAATGAACAAAATAAATAAATTATTGATTTTTGAAATAGATGGACTAACTAAATTATTGTTTCAAAATAAGAGGACTAATGTATAATTTATTCCATCAAAACTCGTAAAAGTAGGTTTTTGATATTAAAGTTCGGTGGATCTGTTGCTTTTTGAAATAAAATGACTTTTTTTTCAAAGTTCCTCTATTTTCTCTACCTTTGTTATCAGTTCATTCTAAACTTCTTTTATCATTTTTCACCAAAGCTTCTCTCGCTCCATCTCTCTACCTTTTTTCCCATCTCTCGCTTACCTCTCGTCTTTGCCTTCCTCCTTCTTTGACTCTCATCCTTTTTGCCTCTCTGCTTCTCTCGCCTCTCGTTACCTCTCATATTGCTTGAATTTCAAGAGCTAGAATGGTTGAAATTTTGCCCTTTTTTTTTTTTTTTTTTAACGCTGTTATATAACGACAAATAACGACGTTACATAACGGTATCGTCGTTATTTGTTGTTATACGTGTGAAACGAGTGTTGGGATATCCGTAATGCCTTATAACGGTAATGGAGTGCCCCCTTCCATTACCGTTATATAATGATCGTTATGTTATGTAACGACCATTTTTTTAAAACCATGGTCCTATAGTTTAAAATCCATCTTTAGTTGATCCTGCCGTTAACGTTGGTTAGAGTTGGTGCTATTTTCACCGTACCATGACAAGTGTTCAAAGACAAAGAATATGTATTGTGAAATATGTACACTCATTTCAAAATCATATAAAATTGGAAAAAATTAAAAAAATTGAAACAACCTTTAATAGTGACTTGTTTTTCTCCCTCTATACATCATTGTTGAAGAAATAAGCAGAGGAGAAATAACCCTAAATCCATAAATTTTCATGGACTCGGTCAAATTGAAGAGAGAAAACTCCTAAACCCTTTAATTTCTCCAAGTTCTCATGATGCCATGTCCGAATGTCATTCTATTTATTGTCTCTACTAGTATATAACAAAACAAAGTGATCAATATCACTCAATCTTTGAAAGGTGATGGCCTTTTCAAGCTCATCAACTAATTCTTAATCTAATGATCCCATCATTACCTTAACTTGAGGAGTAACACCATAACAATATGTGTTTGATTATGGGTCTCCTGTGCATTGTGATTGTGGGGAGCAAGTTCCAAAGTGGAGTAATTGGCATCCCGTTACAAAGTTCATGTGCTTGTCCGGTTCGAACTAGGTCATTCTACAAGTGGTGTGAGCCGTTCATATTTGGCGAGAGGAAATGATGTTTATTTTGGGTATGAAAAATAGATAAAAGCAATTATCTACTGAAATAGGAGATGATGACTTAAAGATTAGATAATGAAGTTGGTTGAATTAAGAAAAGAAAATAGAGATGAAATTATGTGGATTAATGGATTGACAATTGAAATTGAAACTTTGAGAGTTAAGAAGGAGAATTTGGTTGGCCGAGTTGAATGCTTGAGTGGACAATGGAACCGACAATGAAGATGCACGAGGAACATCTCTTCAAGTAACAATTGTGCTTGTTCTTGCGTGTTGTTATATCTATAATGTTTATGATTGTAATCTAAAATCACATCTAATGTTTTATTTTAATTTAAATGAAGTTTTTGTCAATATTGTCTCATTGTTTTTCTTCAAACTAAATGGCCAATTTTCTAGAAAGATCTAATAATGCATGTTGCAAAAATTCTTATAGGAAACAGAGAACCACTTGGGAAAATAATAGGTTACGCAAGGGCTATTTTTTTTGTTAGCTTGAAATGCTCCGTAGAAGTTAAAAACGGATCCACTAAAAACGCAAAATACTTAATAGCATTAGACATTAAAAGTAATAAGTTAACAATATCTCATCTAACTAAAGATGGAAGGTCGCTCAACAATCAACATTGTTCAAGTTAAAAAGCTCGTAAAGGAAACAAAGCATATCAAAATTTCATTTTAATCGGATTTAAAATTTTCATCTTCTTTCCCTCTCTATTAGCAAAGACTCTCTCTCTCTCTTCTCTACACACAAACAAAAGAAGCCAAGGATGGCTTTTTTTAAATGTCACACACTTGAGCTAAAAGGCTTAAAGCCTTTATCCTCCTTTTTTTTTTTTTTTTTTCATATGCACATGGTTTAGGCGCAAAAGAGAAGAAACCCAAGCACAACAATAAACGATTGATAATGAGTATTATTGATGATATTTATTCTCTTATATATAGTTTTTTGAATGTAATTTTAGATTATATGTGCTAAATTAAGTTTATTTTGTGATTTGGAAGATGGTTGAAGTCAATTGACAAAAGTGTGTTAATTTGGGCAAAATTTTCTATTATGGCAGATTGACCTTTAAAGGAAGAAATGTTAATTTCATATCCTTGGAGATCAAGAATGTAAAAGAGGCCTCATTGAGAATCAAAGTGGACATCTTAGGCTTTCTAGATGGGATTTAGACACACAATTCCATTCTGTTTTAGGTTGTCAAAGTTGATTGTAAAGTTAAAAAAGAATACGGAAGAAACTCGAATCCTGTGATAGTTTGAAATATTGCCTAGTGTTTGAATAATATTTAGAGTTATACATATTGGATTGAGATGATTTAAAAGCCTACGGAAAGAAAACATTCGAGCCTACAATCTTCTTGAAGAGCTCGATCTAGATTTAGTTGTCTTCTAACCCTAAATCAATTTGAAATTTTTAGTATATAAACCTAGAGTCTTATAAGTAGCACATTAGGTTTGATTACCTAAGAAAAATAAAAGATGAATTAAATGATTTAGGCATCCTAAAATTATTGTTCATTCTTAGCTATCTTTCTCATTTTTAATGTTATTGTTGATTAGACTAGGATTGCATCGATACCGAAATCAATCAATAATAAGAATTTAATTCAAATTTGAAGTTTTAAGTTAATGAATTTAGGGAACATTTGAGTTTATTCTAGTGTTTAAGTAAATTTAGGCTAAGGTATTCAATGAAAGAATAGCAATTTAGGTGTCGGTGATCTATCTGCAAATTGAATGTTTTAATTTTTCTTTAAACTAAAGTTTTTCCTAAATTAAAATCTTTATTATTTATATTTTATTTTTTTATAAATTTGGCTTTTCACATAAATTCTTTTTTTATTTACATAAACCGAATTGATTATCCGATCTGTAGGGTTCAACCTAGGCTTATCATTGCTACAAAATCGATAAGAAAAGTAAATTAAATTTGGTGCATTGGACATGCATCAATGATCTATATCAAATGAATTGGATTAATGATAGCTTCACTGGCATAATATTTTTTGTAGCATAAAGATAATTATGAGTTTTTTGACAGGACCAATAGTCATAACTTATTTTTGAAATATATTAAAAAGATTGACTTGGTGGGTTTTGAGCAGATTCGCTAAAAGAAAGTCTAATTGTTACTTTCTTCATCTTTTGCTAGCAAATTGAAATAGTTTAGTCCAAAAAAATCAAAATTTCTTTAACCGAAATGTAATTGTTCAAACATGAATGATGTCGCACAATCCTAACAATCAAAGGTCATCTTTAGTTCACTATAAATACAAATCTTATATCATTATGAGAGAATTCAAACCTTTTGATGTTAATAAAACTTCTAAATTCTCTCTCTTTTCTCTCAAATCTTTCCCACTTATATATCAGACATCATCTAAAACTTTATCTATTTCAACTTTGACCCTTGACCTACCTTTCACTTGCTTATGCTTTGCTAGCATTGTTTAC